TATATATATATATATATATATATATATACAATAGCATGTACCGAGACGACGCTCCGAATTGTATGGTGTGTCCTATCCGCACGCGATGGAAAGCACGTGGGCGGATGGGGTTCTTATTGAGCTTGGTACCGTGAGTGCTGCCCAAATCATACAGGTATACCCCGTCGTTCTCGGCCCTGTGTTGCAAGATCTGGTCAATAAAAGCCGATAGTATAGATATAAATTAGGGTTTTGGGATTAGAAAGTAGACGTAAAAATGTCACACACAGAAAATGCCACGTTTGGGGTAGCGAATGTTTGAGATAAATGTATGTACGAGAAGTCATGCATAAGTGCTTATTATCGATATTAATATATCTATGTATAAATTCTAGTGAACACCACCTATCGACAAAATCAGTTCAGAAAGAAAGCAGCAACTAATAGATGATTTAAGTATTTAAAGTCAATAAATCGAGAGTATGAAATTGAATAATACACTACAAGAATACACTTGCACATGCATACTTAACCCTTTCTCAAGGAGATAGTTGTATTTAGTAAGTAAAAAGTTCATACACCGATACCTTAATACAAGTCTCCCTAACCACTCACATTCACACAGCGCTCCACCACAGACGACATGAAGCTTATTTAGCAATGAGTTCGTCATGGGGATTGGCCTCAGGCATCGGACGTCTCAACTTGAGACAAATGGGGTTTGCATGGATACAAAGATGCGTAGAACTCAGATATATGGATTCACGCACATCAACACACACACACATACATACACACTTGCATACATACATACATACATACATACATACATACATACATACATACCGCATGAAACCGTGATATCGATGGATGTTCCATGGGGAAGTGGTTGCGGGCATCTCGGCCTACCACATAGAATGGCTCGTCGCTGATATTGTCTGATTGCACAATGACGCCACTCTTGAGCACCTCTATGCGATACGGGATGTTCGGAACATTCTCACCCCACGAGGGCAAGTTATAGTCGAAGGGGAATGGAAAGGGCTTCTGAGCGTTCCCGGCACTCTGGCTTGGTGCTGGTGTGGGAGTGGCCTGGGTGAGGTATAGCAATTGCGCGAATGACGTATGAGTATGGTATATTAGGGCGACGACGAACCAGATAGGAAAATACTGTGAGGTACTTGACCACGGCTCCCACTACGAAACGTGGCAGTTGAGGGGATATGAACATGGGTGTAGGACACATTGACTTTTTTGGATGATATCTGTTGATGTACGTATGTACCTGTACACACGAGTGTTATCGAGAGCCATATACAATGGTCGGTATCACAATGATAGAGATGTGATAGGTTGGACTCGGTATAGTGGCTAATTCTTCAAGCGAGACCTAAATATAGCTGTTATCGTGGATAGACTGATATCCCACGCGTCGTCTACTATCGCACACACACACACACACACACAACCAAAATAAAAAAACACACACCCACACCTACACACCCACACATATATATACGTATTATGATGCTAACTAAGCTCAGATACCCGTGCGAAGATAGAACTGGTGACATATGTGCGATTCTTCTTCGTCGAGATTTGTCAGAACAAGAAGAGAGCGAGTAGAAAACCAATCTACAAATAAGAATATACAGCGTACTGGTAGTACCCTCATGGATACATGTTAGTTCTGCAGTGACATGACTACGATGTGCCCAAATTCTACTCTGAAGCATACCAATTCTATCATGGGCCACTGGTAAAATACACAGACCATTCCATATGCTGATTCAAAAATTAGACAGTCTCGCCAGTAGAGTGTGCAACCAATTATCTATCGAGCTACGAGCACAAATACATCGGATCACCTAATATACACTCATAAAGCTGCGCGCAAGCATAGAACCTCACAATATGTATTCACACAGGCACCACAGCACAGAAAAAGCGCGTCCCAATATGTGTAAACCCTGACTCAAGCCATGTGAGACAACTCTATCTGGACACGCATTCAACGCACACGCAGTGACAATGTATGATCGATTACAATGTACACTGGCGTGGAATATGCCACTCGACTACTCTGTATGGTGAGAAACTAGAAGACTGGATGAAGTGCAAGTGCAATGCTAAACACTGTTACGAGTGTGTAAGCCAAAGGCACGTGTATCGTACGAGTATAGAGTTAGAAATGTAGATACATTTTATTGTATGAACTAATAGTATACAGACAGTACAGCACCGCGCCCTGCCCCACGCGTGTTTCTATATACACTGCACGGTTAACTTCGGCAGAGGTCTGGAAATCTTTACTGTGGTGTGTGTAGGCGGGGATTCACGTTTGATTGACTGAGGAGACGGTCTGTATAGTTTGGGTGTGAGAGTGTGTAGATGTGACAGTGAGTGTGTGTATGCGGGTTGTAGGTGCGAGTGTGCGGGTTGTAAGTGGTTAGTTGTGTGCGAGAGCGATTCTACTGATATTGCTTTAACATTGACGGCTTGTACATATTGATAGTCTGCGAGCCTTAGGGGTGCACGAGTCTATATGAAATATCGTCTCTTTTGGTGTAAGTGTACGTTTAGGAGTTTTGTATGCATTTATGTGTTGGTATGTAGAAGTATATTTTTGGAGTTTAGGCTCGGATTGCGCATTCATACGCCAGCGCCCACACGTCAGCCTTACATGAAGTTTTCAGACTCAGCACCCGACGTGCCCATTAAGAAACGGTGTGTGGGACTAGCATACGCGCGAGTCACTAAGAAATACGAATGCATTTCAATCTCATGTATAACACCACAGACACAATTATACAACATAACAAGCTTAATACACTCGCCACACACACACACACACACACACACATTGCATACCTGTACAGTCTTCTCAGGTGGTGGTGCGTCCTTATGAGTGTCCACAGCCTTTCTAACAGGTAGTGCAGGCACAGCGAATCCCCCTTCACTCTTCTTGTCACCAACTGCGCCCTGATTCTCTACATTACTTGCACCTGCACTCGTGCTTGCGGGGCTTGTTTTGGCCTTTAACTTGCCCACCGGTAATGCGGGCACTGCAAAGCCATCCAGTGGAGTCTGCTGCGATGTTCCCGTCTTTGTGTGCGTGTTCGTTGGTCCTTGCGCGGGGGTGTTGTGGGGTGTAGGCGCTGAGATAATTGTAGGTGTGGGTGTAGTCTGTGATAAGCTGGGAGTACCTGCTGCATTGGTACTTCCGGGTGTGGTGTGAGCAGGTGTGGCTGTTGGCGTATTGGGTTTGTTACTCGCCATGGGGAGTGGCAGGGCGAATCCTGTGCTATCGGTCCAACTCTTTGCACCCCCGCTCGAACTGACAGGGGTAGGTACCGCGAACGAAGCATCGTCACTTGCTTTCGACTTCTCCAAACCCGCATCCGTACTCGCACTCGCACTCGCAATTTGTACTGGTTGCGGGGCGGTAAAAGCATCACCATCCAAATTTCCTTTCTTCGTGTGGACAAAACTATCAGTATTCATACTACTTCCCATTACAGGGGTGTATGCAGGCACATCAGTGCTACTAGCCTGAGGTGTGTGTGCGGGCACGGCGAAACCTTCCGCGGTCTTTGCCTGTATCATCTGCGTGTCTGTGGGGAAGTCGCTGGGCGTGTTGCTGTGAGTGGGTTTAGGCCGCGGCGTACTTGCATGCGCTTTGGGGGTACTTGTATTCCCATCTAATCCAAATGCCGTGGTTAGTGGCGCAGCGTTAACACTAGCCCCAGCTGTACCGCTATTCAAGCCAGTCCGGTTAACAGGTTTTGGGGCAGTGAACCCCTTTACCATAGCCTTCGCAGCCTGTTGCACATCCGCATCCGCCGCACTCGCGGGTGTACTAGGCATTGACGTACTCCCACTCACGCCTTTACCTAGACCCTCCCCTTTACCACTTTCCATCACCGAATTGGCTCCCATCTTTTGTTGCAGTAGCTTCCATGGCGCAGGAGTGTCTCGTCGACCCATCGATGATTTCTTAGCCATGGGTGTCTGCTGCGGATCGTGTTCCAAACCCACATCATCAAACCGCCTCTTACCCACCTCAACGCCTCCACAAGTACTTGCATGTGCGTCTGCCCCGGGGTCTACCTGGGCTGAGTTAATATGGCGGGCACCTTCTTTTGGTGTGCCCTCTACTCCCTGACTGGGCTCATGTCCCTGTATCTCGGTCTCTCTCTGCGCCTGTCCAGAAAGTTGGGACAAAGGGACAGGTGCGGGTGAGACACTACTCAAAGCCGAGGCATGTCTGGGTCGTGCTAAGGGGGTGTTAAACATGCTACCGGTGACACTATTAAAGCTACTGTTAATGGTCGTGTTCATATCAGTACTAGTACTTCCATCGAAGCTAGTGTCCAAGTCTATACTCTCGTTCAGATCGATACTCCGTGATATGGATTTAGAGTCGCTGTTAGCATTAAGTGTGGGTGTGGGAGTGTGGCTGTTGCTGCTATGCTGAGTATCTGTGTGGGGATCTGCTTGCCTCTGCGGGTTTGCGAAGGGAACATCGCGTAAGTGCTGGGGTAGTTGTTGCCCACTTCCTAAGACCTGATGTGGATACATACGCAGTTATAGGATAGGATGAGTTGATTCATAACACTCCATGACTATAAATGTTTATGGAAAGGCTTACAACACATGGTAATAGCACATTTACATTTGTAAATGAGCGGATATATCGCACATATCACAACAGGGTCCTCAAAGCATCTTGTATACCTGAGTAGTATTCTACAAAATCTTGAAAAATATAGCTAATCGAGCTCGAAGCAATATATATAAATATGAATAAATATGAATATATATATAAATATATATATAAATATAAATACATACATATATATAAATATTAATAATATATAATATAATGTAATAAGTAATAATATATAATGACATATAATAATATATACGCTTGCATGTCTTTCACGCAAACTCAAAATAATGAGCTGTAAATTATTCAATCTTAAGTTCAGACACATGACAATGTGAATAAGAAACAGTATGTATATAGTATAAAAGTATAGAAAAATATGAACAATACGATCAGTCTATATGGGATCTAATAGTGGCCTCGTATATTACCTTCTGGGGCGTATCGCTCAGTAGTCCCATAGAAGGCACATGCTTTCCAGTGTTGCTGCTTCTATCGACCACATGCGAGCCGGAAGTACTGCCCATCGCTTCAAATCCACGGCCGCCCCCAGACTTGAGCTTATCTAAGAGATCAGTGGGAAACGGCGTATCCTTCCGAGCCAAAGAGTTTGCGCTCAGTTGCCTTGGCAACCGTGCTGGCAAAGGCGTGGATAGTGTATGCGGTATAGTATTTGTATCGGATTGCGCAGATTGAGTGATAGTGTGATCCTTGACTGAAGTTCCAACAGCGCTATCGGCTGGTGGTGCAGCTTTGCGCTGCACCGGTGTTGCCGGTATTGTGAATGATTTATCATCCATATTCAGAACGACTATAAATACATATATGAACTTTCTGAGTGTATGTATCTATTTATATACACATATGCTCTTGTGAAAACACATCTACTGAAAAGCTTTGCAAGCCAGTCTATGCCTCGCAACAGAATGAAGACACCTCTAAGTAGTATCAGAATACACCTTTGAGGTATGTATTTGTGTGGGTATACTAATCTGTGCACTTGTACCCTCACTACACTACAAATACTTGTGGCAGTTGAGATTTGTATGAAGTAATTACGTGTATTGATTGCACATCCCATATTCCCGCGTAAAAGCTCATTTTTTTTACCTTAAACCATTGAAATCCTGGTATTTAAAAATAGGTATGTGTAAATGATTTTTTATTAGTTGAATACAAACGGGCCGGATTACAGGCGGCCATATACGACACCTGAATGTTGAAAACTTGAACGATGTAGTATATACGAGGCAGAGAGTGTGATCTGAATATACAGCATGTGAAAATAAACGACATTATATTAAACTGATGTCTGATAAGCACACAACTCTATAAAAAGCCGAATGCATAGTCAAATGAGACTGAACTTCTGAGTCTGTCCAGTCACAGTGTCTCACTCTCTCGACTCTCAGCCTCTCTGGCTGGAGTTTCTGCTGGAGATGGAGTCTACGTGTGCGTAATATTTACATCTGCGACAAGGTGATGGTATATATATATATATACATATAAATCACTAGTGGAAGTTGTAGTTGGTCGATTGTATAGTAAATCCAGAGTACACGGTTCTTTCAGGTTAACCTTGAGTGCAATATGACGAACAAGGAAGTGGAAACATTCACACTGGAAGCCGACAATGAGTTGCGAATTGAGGTGAACGCAGACACCTCCGTTACGATAGAATTATTAAAAGGCACAGCCGAGATATTCGGTACTGAACTAGGTAAACGACAACTTGCTTTTCATCGCATATCTTAGCAACCTTGCCTTGTTGAGCCCAACTTGTTCAAAGTGCAGGAAATACCTTGTTACAGTTTGTATATTCATTTTGTAACAGAGAGGATGTGGGTTTTCTCGCGTGTGGTCGGTATAGATGAATAGCTTAAACTGAGTGGGTCTATAATAGGCATATTATAACATTCATTTTGTTAGACTTTTATTCTGTGTTCAGCTGACGTACAAAGTCGTAGTTCTATGTACTACTCGGGCACACAAGTTCATATGTAGTTGCGAATGTACTTGCATGTATCAACATAAAAGTGATTGCAATTTAATATGAGTCTCTTTGGAATA